TTTTTTACCATTGTATCTAAAATTTGTTCCCATTGCAAAAATAAACAAAAAAAAAAAAAGCTGGAAAATATTTTTTCACCTAATAGGTGAAGAAACATTTTCCACCATTTGTGCATCAAAGAGTTGTACCTAGAAAAATGGAGAAAAACATTTTCCGTGGAAAATTTCGCATATCAAACAGTCAAAAAAGTGAAAGTAGTGGAAAACTCCACCAATCAAACGGAGCCTCAGTGAATTAAATTTAAAACATGAATATTCTTGCCCTTCGATGCTATGATACAGTCTTACCATCTAGTCCTCAAAAACCATCCAAAACAATCATAAGTAAGATTCTGAGATTAATTGCATATTTTTTAGAATGATAGGTAAAAAAGACTATTTGTGCTTTGTACCGCTTTTTTACCAAATTAATCATGAAATGAAACTATAATTGAGAAATAAGTGTCCCAAGTTATAAGCTGAATATGAGGCGCAACAGCTAGGACAACTCTTGAGCGACGCCAAAAGGCTAATCTCACGACTATCAGCAATCACCGTGTCAATGGCCTAAATTTGTTCAATAATATTGATGATAGTTGGAGGCAGATAATCTGAAAAAGCAACCCAGCAGGTTCCCAAAATCAATTTCCTCCAACCCAAATTACAATATTGTTAGAGCTCCTACTCACGAAGCAAAAATAAGAAATAAAAAACTAGTTTTTCATTTGTAGTTAAACAGTGTACTGGAACCTCAGGAATTTCAGGTGAATAGGCAAATAGAATTCAAGTTTGTATATGAATATATTTTCCTACTTCGACAACAAACCAAACCAAACCAAGCATTGTTTTTTAGCAAAATTCCCATTTAAACAGAATAAAAATGAATGAAGGTAATTGGATGTTAATTACCCGTGAACAAGTGGTGGATTACAATGATGTAGATATTCCAAACCCTTTGCAACTCGAATTGCAATTTTCATTCTCTCGTTCCAATCCAGCAACGATAAACTGCAATCAACGTCGACGTCAAAATAGGCTTTCTTAAGCAAAGAACTAGATTAATCCCTTTAAGAGGACATATACCTGTACACTATGAATTTCACAGTCTCATTTTCCCAGCAATGTCCCAAAAGAGGACCAGGTTTGGAAAGAGATAATTTGCTGATACCCTCCAACTCGGACTTGTAAGCTTCCTCATTGACTAAGCGCAAATCAATTATTTTGATGACAACAGGGATTGAACCATGCCCTGACTTTTTCACTTCCCGAAAGTTTAAAATCCCTCTAAATAAAAAACCAGAAACATTGTGCTCGATTAGGTTTTTTTTGCTGAAATTACCAGTGGCCTCAATAATTTCCTTCTCCATAAATGACATTCCCATATCCTGAAAGTTCAGAGCCGATTCATTCAAACGGAAGCTTAAATCAAAATCCGAGGCGAAGGAGCTGGATAGCGAGTCTTCTCGAGCGACCCGCCGGAGCTCCTCTCTCTTCAATGTGGCTCCGACTAGTCTCCCCCAATTGTCGTACGCTCTTGTCATCTCCTTCCGATGCTATTACCTTCCTCCGAGAAACTCTACTGTAACATAGTACTCCGAAATGAATATCATATTCAAGATGTCGGCTTGAACCAGTCAACGTGTAGAAATTATCACAGGAGTATTGCTTGGGTTACAGAGTGGGGCTTGTGCGACTAGTCTCCCCCAATTGTCGTACACTCTTGTCACCTCCTTCCGAGGCTATTACCTTCCTCCGAGAAACTCTAATGTAACATAGTACTCCGAAATGAATATCATATTCAAGATGTCGGCTTGAACCAGTCAACGTGTGGAAATTATCATAGGAGTATTGCTTGGGTTACAGAAGCACAAGCCCCACAGATCACACGGGGATGGGGGGTGGAATTTGAACCAATTTTTAATCAAGTGGGTCCCGCATCATGAGAATCGATAGAAGGTCTGTGAATCAATAGAAGCACAAGACCCACCTCATGAGAATCGATAGAAGGTTTGAACCGAGCCGAATTTTTATTCATTTGTATGTACAATCATGCAATATCTGCATCTTGTATTTTTTACATGCAATATATGCGTCTTGTATTTTTTACATTGTTTCACGTATCGACAAATGAAGGACTTCCGTCCAACACTTTTTAAATTTTCACACAATGTATACCAAAATTTAACCCTTAGAATGTACACTTAGCATAATTATTTTATGTATACTCGTAAATTTCATGTCTTTTTTATAAAAATAAGAGTGATATTATTCAACAACATTGGTTTCAAACACTAATCTAAGTAGCGATGTCAAAAAATATCAATGGCTAGGGCTCAGCTCGGAAAAAGCCCGAGCCGGGCCAGCTCGTGGCATCAAGCCGAGACTCGACCATTTTGGGACATCGGCTCTAGCCCGAGCTAGCAAGGGCTCGTCACCGGCCCGTGTTATGGGCCGAGCCGAGCTGTTTTCTTTTTATTTTAGTTTAGATGTATTTTTTATATATTAATATTTAGTTATTATTTATAATATATATAAATTGCACAAATTTTAAAAAAATTATATATTTATAATGAATTTTAAAAAAAACCTTGCTGAAGCTCAAGCTTAGCCTCATTTTTTTTGCCAAGCTTTTGCTCGGCTCGAGCCCAAAAAAGTTCGGGCATGTTTTGCTCAAGCCGAGCTCGAGCTTTGAATTTCGGCTCGTTGACATAACTAAATCTAAGTAGTAACTACACGACATTAAATTATAAATTCACCTAAATATAATATCACATAATTCATTTAAGTCAACCTATCAATGTCGCCAACTAGACTTGTGTTCTAACATTATAGGTGTCAAGTATCAGTTTAAGTAGCAACTGCATAAAATTAAATGATGGATTCACTTAAATAAAATGTCAAATGATTTATTTAATTGAATTTATCAAGTGTAGTCAACTAAGCTGATATTAGGTAACATTATTCTAAAAGAGTAATATTATTCATCATTATTGGTGTCAAGCACCGATTTAAATGATAACTACATGACATTAAATAATAAATTCACTTAAATATAATGTCACATAATATATTTAAATGGATCTATAAAAAATGATCAACTAAATCGGTGTTGGATAACATTATTTAAAAAATAAACCATTTAGAAAGGCTTAATTTCAGTAAAAAGAACATTTGAGTATGTGTTCCTCCATCATGGGCATTCTTGTAGATGATCTCAGAACTTTTAAATGTTAAACCACTAACTCCACAAGTGAGATGAGATTTAATTCTTTAATTGATAGAGGTATGGTTATGTTGCAGGTTCGTAACTACAATTTATTTATTAGTATCCCTTGCTTTCGGGGTGGACTGTTCAACTGAAAATAATTTTGTTGATAAATTATATGAGTGGATAATATATTTTTTCTCTAGTGACAATTTGGTGACTTAGTTTAATTTTGTTCAACTACGTAACCATATTTTAATTTGATTTTAATTGGTTAACTCCGTCCATTTCATTCACTTGGATGGACGAAAATTTGTGACCTGGCAGACCATGATGACCGTCGTTTATTTCATGAAGTTTCACTTGTTCCACATAAGTAACTAAAGGCCAAGTGTAGGGATAGGCAAAAAAACCGAAAAATCGATTAAGCGACCGAACTAAACCTAGTCAGGTTGGGTTGGTTGCGGTTCAAGCAACCAACCCGTCAATTAACCGATCCAACCCGCAAATACTTTTTTTTTTTCATTTTAAA